GCGTAAATAATTGTGAGAAATCTTTGCTGAGAAATTTTAGCGGGATTAATAAAGGCGGGGAGCCATAATAATGCACTGATAGAAGAATTTATTAACTGTTATTAATTTAATTTATTTGAAAACAATTATTTAATTTATTAAATTTTAATAAATATTTTGTTGAATTTTTTTAGCTTGTAATAAAAATCATCTTTATAAATTATTTGCATTTATTATATTACATTATAATAAAGTTTATTGTAAATTACCAAATTTTATTAGCTCATAATTATCCTAACTATTATTGTTATTAGTTAACAAAAATTTATTAATATTTAATAAATGTTAATAAATATTTATTAAATCTTATGATATTAAAAAATTATTTATAAACAGTTAATAAAACTTATTAAAAATAAATAAATCTTTTTATCAGTATGCAATTTAACGAATGCTGAGCAGAGAGTTTAATTGAAGAATACAATAACGATAAAAAAATAAAAATAAATCATTGAATGATTTATCGTTTACATACATAAAGTATAATGAGGATTTGTTACAGCTCTGGGCATCGATCAATCGAGATAGAGGCGAAATATTGCTTCGGACGAATGAAATTATTCACAATAAACTAACGGAACGCGAATTATAAAATAATTCTTGAGTTTTAGCGTACGGAGAGATAATAGGAGCTAAGATGGTACCTGGAGGAGAGAGTATAAAAGATCCACGATGGAGGATGTGAAAATAAGTGTAAAGAAGAAAAAAAATTAAAGGAATTGCATCACGTACTTGGACACACACTCTTGCTCTTGCTCTTGGCTTGCCCGATTGAGATCATCTGAACATATATGTACATATATATATATATATATATATATATTGTACGTATATGGTATGTGGTGTATATATGTATAAGATACCTGGAGAAGATCGAGAAAGAAAAGAAAGATAAAGAGAAGGGGCAAAGGACGCCGTTAGATCGAGATTAATACCTGGCTTTTTATTATTTAAACTATAACTATAACTATACAGCAATTTTTAGTTATGTTCGATCGTTAAAATTTTTTATTCTGTTTATATTTTAGCTTGAATTATTTCCGAGACATTTTTTAATGGGGAAAATATCGACTTGTTATCGTAAAAGTTTATGTCTGCTATCCGTTTGCTTTTCATTGGATGGATACTGTACTTGTGCAATTTGCGAGTGTCAGAAGTAAAGAGTGCGATAGTATTCATTCAAGTTCACTGAATGTGAAGTAAGATACGGTATTTGTGACGATTGACGATATAAAAGACGCTGATAGACTCTAGACTGTTTCGTTAAATTCAGTTGATAAATTTTAATGACTTAAAATTAATTATTTAATGATTTAAAATTTAATAAAATCAATAAATTTTAATTCTCTGTTTTATTTATTAGCCTGAAAAATATATAATAACTGGGACAATAGATATCTAGGACGCTGAAAAAATTTATAGAACGGTATTTTTATTAATTTATGATCTTAATAATTTAGTAATTTATTTGAGAGTTAATTATTGAATTTATTTTGTTCTTTAGATTTAGTATCGTTATTTATTTTGAATTGTGACGGAATCGAGCACGATAGGACCGGGTGGTACAGCGGATCGATACCTGAAGAACAGGTGTTGCAAATTTAAATTTAAATATTTTTTTTAATTCGAGTTTCAGTTAATAAAATAACGCGATAAATAATATTGGGAAAAAACTAGGGCAATGTAAAGAGGATTGAGTGATTAAAGAAGCTTATGATGCACATCGGTAAATAAAAAAATCAACAAGGACAAGTGAATTTTGTATTTAATAATTGTTAAAAAAAAAAATATCTTTAATCAAAAGAAAAATTTTTGACCCAAAAAATAATTTTGAAGAGTTTTATTGACTTGAATCATGATGAAAACTTTTTAAATCAAGTAAAATTTTTAAATCATTGGAACTTTTTCAAAAATTGACCAATTGGGACTACACCAAATGGAAAATTTTTGTTTTTTAATGTAGTTTTTAGAAAAAAATACCAAAAAAATTTCAGAAGCCTAGATCTATAAAAGATTTCGGTTTTTTCGAAACAACTGTTATTTTTTCACGTCCGATGACTAAAAAAATTACTATAACTAAAAAAAAAAAATATGTACCCCGTAAAATTGTTCATAGGACACTCGCAATGACGTCATTATATGTAAAATAAATGCTGATAGATAAGTCCTTTTAATAGACGTTTGATTACAAGTGAGGGTTACAATTTCCGTCAATAGTCTAGTTGCACGCCGGGAGTAAAGCCCCAGGGATTAAAGCGCAAGAAAATACTGGGTTGGATAGATCGTGACAGATCAATCACGGCATCTATTCTCTCTGTACAGTACAAGTACAGTGCTCATAAAATCTAATCTCGAGCGCGCTGTAATTTCACGGGAAGTCAAGTGTAGTAAAGTAATACAACAACGTCCATCATCATCAGTATTAGTGTGTTATTAGATTCCGTGGTACAGATAATCTAAGCGCAGATGTTCCGTTCAAGGATAGTCATGTTATATGAGCTAGGGGATGTTTTGTTCTCTCATCCATAGGCATTTACGGTTCAATTGGTTTCCTTAAAATGTTTAGTAATAAAAATTTTAGTTTTTTAGTTTAGAAATTTTTAACTTACCTTTTTACGAGCGAAAAAACTCCTCCATCGTTGAAAAACAATTATTTTAGCAATAAACACAGCACATATTGATACTTGTTAGTTAGTAATCAGTCGTAGAGTTTTTTGATTATTACAGCCAGGTGTTGTCAGTTCAAAAACATCAATCATAGGTATCGGACGTAAATTCTCTTAAATCCAACGGGAGACTGTTGCGTCCCGGCGGGAAAAATCGGTTGCTTGGCTTCAACCCCCACTACGTTTAATTATTTACACGCATGCGCACCGTTTGTTACTAACAGTTTGCACGCAAAATTAATTCGCATTAAACTTTTAAAATACCTGTTATTAAACAGCAAATTTAATTAAACCATTAAGTTCAAACTTTCCAATAAATGGACACCAAAAAATGGCTTTTTTAATTTAAAAACGCGCGCAGGAAAGCGTGGGCTTATGGTACACTAGAGGACGGCAATTAGGTTGCTAAATTACTGTGTGGATTTTAATTCCAATGTTGATCTTTTTAGACTGAGATTAACAAGTCATTGTTTGGAATAATTCGGTTGTTAAAGAGAAAGTTTGCGAAATTTATATGTATTTAATTTTGTGGTATTCTTGTTTTTGGGGGTGAAGGGTTGACAGCGGAAGTGCTGTGACAAAATTGTATGATTACCTGAATTTGCATAATAATAAAATACTCTAGACCACACACCTGGTTCCAATAGGGTCGTTCGTATTCTGACTACCACCTGCATTTAATATTACATTCAATTAGACTCGTGATAGAATTTTTAAGTATTGAATGTTCATTTATAATTTATAATGCTAGCTCTTTAACGATATAAAAAAATTAATAAAATGTATCGAGGATTTTAGTTAGTTTAAAATCGTGGAAATCTGTGAAGAAATTTTTTTGTAACTTAAAATATCTTGGAAATTTATACAGGATGAATTTTCAATAAACTTTTGTATTCTTCTTGGATTAATGTCATTTTTGTGGTTTCCAATTTTATGAAATTATCCCGGATTACTGAGAATTCTATAGTATTCAACATCAAAGTATATATTTTAAGCAAACGGCTACCTTGAAAATGAAGGAAATTTCTATAGTACCTTTGTCAATAACTCACCCTTAAAATTCATATTATTTCTGAGAGGTATAAAAATTTTCTTAGTAACATTTTTCCGTTTCATAGCATTGATCCTTTTGGTGTTTTTTCACATTTTTGCCATTTGAAAGGTAAAAATGTTTTTATAAAATTATTTAAACATAAATATAAGAATAAATTTAATGAAAATTAAGTTAGTCGACATCTAAAATTTGATTATTGAAAAAAAATAAAAAAATTAAAAACGTCGGCTAACTTTAGTATTATATAAATTTATTATCAATATTTGACAGTATACTGAAAAAAAAAATTCTTGACTGGAGTTAAAATTTTTTTGGCTCAACAAAATATTAAGGAAGATTGAAAATTTCTTGAATCAAGTCATAGTTTCTTGAGCCAAGACAATTTTCTTGAGTCAAAAAAATTTCTTCTTACTCCAAGATAACTTTTGCCTTCCTTAAAATTTTCTTAGCGCAAGAAATTTGTTTTTCTGTGTATTAGTTTGAAAAATCAGATAAAATAAAAATAATTCAAGCAGTCATTTGATAATTTTTGATTTTTTAAATCAATAAAAATTATAAATAAAAAATTGCACTTGGAATTATTCAAATTTTCAACATGTAAAATTTTTTTTTCAATAAAAAAAATTATAAAAATTTTTTAGATGGCTAATTTAATTTCCATTGATATTTTGCTTAAAATTTTTGCATAATTATATTACTTAAAAATACTAAAATCTAAAATACCGACTTTAGAATTTTTTTTTGCACCCAGATGTCAGCACCTACTGGTGTATAATTTCGCGGGAAATTCAAATATCAAAAATTTCTAACTTATTAATTGTCAATTCATTAGAACATTAAGAGTGGAACTGTCTAAGTTATTAAGTGGAACAAACGCTAGATGTCTCGAACATTCTAGAATATTCTTAGTAAATAATTTATATAAAAACACACCTGATGTATTTACCAGTGGTATTAAACAATTTTATATGAATAGAGTATCATTGAGAGATTTATAAAGCGTGGTCGTTGGTTTGCACTTAATAGAGTCTGCCAAAAGACTATTGATATTGTGTAATTGTCGCTTTAAACTTGGAAACATCACAAGTCATCAAGGATTTAATATAATATCGTTAAATTTGTACGTGTTTGTATACTTATCGTTGTCTTGTTCTGTTTATCTGTCATTATTAAGTATTTTTAATGTCCAAATTTTAGTACACACATTTTATATCTAATTAATAAAAAAAATAATATAGTTTATGATTATTATTAATTTTATAATGGGTGTTTCGCAGTCTCAGCCGAAAGATAAAATCTCTAGGTACAAATGCTAGGAAATAAACAACGTGTTTATAACCTTAAAAATAAATTTTAATTTTTTCTTCATATAAATTCATTTAAATCTCACTACAATAATAATAATAATAATAATAATAATAATAATAATAAAAATTAATTAATTTTTTTATTTATATTTTTAGTTGCAAAATGAATAATAAACCAAGTGGAAATGACAGCAGCAGTAGACCTCTCTCTATTACAGCACCACCAGCTGAACCAGAACTCCAGCCAGTTGAAAATCAACCAAGGCAACCAAGTAATTTGCAAGGTTTGTTAAGGTTCGCTATGGAGGCGTCTAAAAATGAAGATGCGCCTCATCAATCATCTTTCCAACCTCTGGATCAAGAAGTAAGTTACTGTCTTAATTAATTTTTTTTTTTGCTTAAAAATTTTATGAAAATTAACTCAGCAGATATTTGATAATTTTAAGAATTTTTTTAACTAATAAATTATAGCAAAAAAAATTAAAAATGCAATTTTTTTTTAAATAATTTTTTGGAGTAAATTTTTTTTGTTAAATAAAATTAAAAAATAGTCATGTAACTCCAAATTTTAATGACATAAACATTTATTATAAAGCTATAAAAATAAACTTAGCCGACATTTTCGATTTTGCTTCATTTATTAAATTAAAACTAAAAAATTTTTTTTAATTGCACTTATAGGTTTTCAAATTTTTTACAAATGAAATTAAAAAATAATTTTTTTATCATAATTTCTTTAATAAAAAATATTCTAAAAATTTTTAAATTAAAGTTAGCAGTCACTTGATAATTTTTTTATTTTATTTAACAAATAAATCTTTTCTGATTTTTAAAGTAATTGCATTTATAATTTTTTAAAATTTCTACATGTCAATTTTTTTTTCTCATTTATTTTTACCAAAATTTATTTGTTAAAAAAATTCTAAAAATAATTAAATGTCTACTAAATTAATTCTCATTATGTTCATTACAAAGCTAGCTAGCTCATCTTCAGTTAACACTGGCTTGATAATACTTTGAGTAGCCTGATAAAAGAAAAAAAATATCCATGATTTTAAAAAATATTTTATATTAATTTTAAATTTTTTTATTGAAAAAAAAGATACTAAAGTTTGGATAAATTGACAGATTTTAAAAGCAATAATTAAATTGATGCAAATAAAAATTATTTAAAAACAAAAATTTTACTGTCAATAACGGTTTGTGGAGTTGCTTATAATTAGCGTGAATTTGAAGCTTACCGTTTAAATGCTAACTTAAGTATCATAAAATTTAATTTGGTAAATATTTACAAGCGGGGTCCATTTTAATTTTCATTTTTTTGAACGAAATTTCTATTTGATTTTATTGATATTTTTTTTGAAAAGTAATTTAAAAAAATGACCATTAAAAAAAAAAGTTGATTATCACAATTTTACAGATTTTCAAAAAAATTTATAAATTTTTTAGAAAATTGTGATATTCAACTTTTTTTTTTTAAATTGTTTGTTTTTTTATATACTTTTCAAACAAAAATATATAAAAAAAAGATAAAATAGAAATAATTATTTGTATTTCAGGAATGTGGACGAGATAGGATCATAGAAACAAATTACATTATTATTTCTGCGACGTTTCGGTTATTTATTAAACCTTCCTCAAGCATCTGAAAATTACACATGTTAATAACTAATAAAACAACATAATAATCGCTACAATTACAATATTTACCATAATACGAATTATAACAATCATTATCTTACATTGCACAGTTGCCTTTGTCATATAAATTGTCACAAAATTAATAAAATTGGTCCTTTCGCCGCCAATGTAAAATAAAACATATTAGATTATGAGTAAATTAAATTTTTTTCTAATAGTTGAAGTCCTTATTTATCTAATAGTGAGGTTTAAATTATACTTTACCGGACAAATTTTTGAAAAAATAAAATTTTTAAATGTTAGTATTTGTTCAGAGGCTTACGAGAAAGTCAGACATTTGCAGTATTTCTCGAATTATACTATCAGTCATGGATTAGATGAAGTAAAAAAAAACTAAAAATTAGATTTTCGAAATATTCAGGTTTCTTTTTTTTGCAATAAAATATATCAGTTACCGAGATATTTATTGAGGAATTAATATTTAAAAATCACAAAAAATTCTCAAGTAACCTACATTAATATGGAGTCAAAATATTTGGCAACGTTGCGTAGCGCGCGAGCTTCAGACCATTCAATAATTCAATAAATTCAAACTAATTTATTTATTTACACTGACTGCAAAAACTTAAACGTGTTTAAGCCAAAGCTAGCTAGCTCATCTTCAGTATAATAATAATAATAATAATAATAATAAACAATAATTAATTCCAGAGAAAAGAATTTTTGAGCAAAGCCTTGGAATCAATGACAGTGAATGTAATTGAGGAGTTGCAAAAATCCGCGAAAATCCTATCAAATGTAATGGACCTTCGTCAGGAAGACGATCCAACAGAATACGAAACAGCTCTGGAGTGTATAGCAAGTTACGTAGACAGTATTGACATTGCCAATGATTTCTACAAAATCGGAGGGTTCGGTATTATCGGAGCCTGTCTGAATTCACCTCACAGCACCATCAGGTGGAGAGCAGCAGACGTGATAGCTGAGTTGACGCAAAATAACCCGTTTTGTCAAGAAAAGATTCTAGCTATGGGTCTTATGCCGATTTTATTGGAGATGGTCGATTCAGACCCTTTGGAGCAAGCTCGGATAAAAGCTCTGTACGCAATTTCCTGTAAGTTTTACTTATTTTAAAAATAATTTCTAATTATAAGTATTATGTTTGCCTTGATTGAGACCTTACTGTCTTGATTATCATACGGCCTTAATTTATTCTATCATCCATCTACGCTCTTTCTTGATATTAATAATACATATAAATATAATCATTTATTGGCTATACTATTATATTTGAATCACCTTTTTAGGTATTGTTCGTGGCAATGCATTAGCGCTTAAATACATGGATGTTAACGACGGATACTCTGTGCTAATAAGAGCGATGCAGAGCTCTGTGGAAAAGCTGCAAATTAAATCAGCATTCTTGTTATCCGCTCTGTGCAGTAAGGACAATGCGCATGCTATTAGATCGAGTTTAATTAAAATGGGTATCATTGAACAAGCTTCCGGCTTGTTGGCTATGAATAGTATTATTGGAGATACCAGGTAAATATTTATTTTATTTTTTGTATTACATTAAGGTAGTAGTTTAGTATAGTTATATTATATCAGTAGTAAGTGTATAAAGCAGTTATTTTTTTATTTTTATTCAAAAAATTATTCTCAAGATCCTTTGCGACATTTCTTGTGTGTCAAGGTTCAATTGACCTACAAAAATTGGTAAATATTTACCAGTGGTAAATATTACAAGTGAGGTCAATCATTTTAATTTTCACTTTTTTGAACGAAATTTCTATTTGATTTTATTGATATTTTTTTTGAAAAGTAATTTAAAAAAATGACCATTAAAAAAAAAAGTTGATTATCACAATTTTACAGATTTTCAAAAAAATTTATAAATTTTTTAGAAAATTGTGATATTCAACTTTTTTTTTTTAAATTGTTTGTTTTTTTATATACTTTTCAAACAAAAATATATAAAAAAAAGATAAAATAGAAATAATTATTTGTATTTCAGGAATGTGGACGAGATAGGATCATAGAAACAAATTACATTATTATTTCTGCGACGTTTCGGTTATTTATTAAACCTTCCTCAAGCATCTGAAAATTACACATGTTAATAACTAATAAAACAACATAATAATCGCTACAATTACAATATTTACCATAATACGAATTATAACAATCATTATCTTACATTGCACAGTTGCCTTTGTCATATAAATTGTCACAAAATTAATAAAATTGGTCCTTTCGCCGCCAATGTAAAATAAAACATATTAGATTATGAGTAAATTAAATTTTTTTCTAATAGTTGAAGTCCTTATTTATCTAATAGTGAGGTTTAAATTATACTTTACCGGACAAATTTTTGAAAAAATAAAATTTTTAAATGTTAGTATTTGTTCAAAGTCTTACGAATCGAATAGTGAGGCTTAGATTGTACGTTACCGGTCAAATTTTTGAAAAAATAAAATTTTTAAATGCTAGTATTTGTTCAGTCTTACGAGAAAGTCAGGCGTTTGCAGTATTTCTCGAATTATATTATCAGTCATGGATTAGATGAAGTAAAAAAAACCTAAAAATTAGATTTTCGAAATATTGAGGTTTCTTTTTTTGCAATAAAATATATATCAGTTACCGAGATATTTATTGAGAAATTAATTTTTAAAAATCACAAAAAATTCTCAAGTAATCTACGTTAAAATGGAGTCAAAACATTTGGCAACGTTGCGTATCGCGCGAGCTTCAGACCATTCAATAAATTCAAACTAATTTATTTATTTACTCTGACTGCAAAAACTTAAACGTGGTTAAGGTTATATTGTGCAAATGAAAATGTAAACAACCGAAGTACAGCGTTGCCAAATCACGGACAGATTACTTGCAGCTGTTTTGAAAGAGTCAAATTAATTTTTGTATTTAACTATTTTTTTTTTTTTTTTTTTCAAAATTTCAACGATTAATGCCTCATACTATTTATTATTTAATTTTAGGAATTTTTATGGGTTTTTTATTTTAATTTATCGTATATTGACTACTACAATTGTTTTGACTCAACTGGAGCGAAAGGATTTCCTTTAATTATTAGTATATTAGTATTATTCCAAAAATAAATTATTAATCCGAACTGTAATTTATTATTATTAGTATTAATTTGTTATTGTTATTATTAGTATTATTCCGAAATTTAATTTGTTATTATGATCCTACTTGCCCACATTCCTGATATACAAATAATTATGGATGATAATATTAATAACATAAAATAGAAATTTTATCCAAAAACATGAGAGCCAAAATTTTTTCCAACTTTTGAACGCAAAAAAGTTATCGAAATCTTCATTTATTTCTTTCACAATTTTTTATCATAACTGCGCCGTAAAAACAAGCAGAATAAAAAAAAATTAAAAATGTTAATTTTTCACCTAGTTATGGCCCAAAATTGGATTGACTCCACTTGTAAATAATTACCAAAAAATTTTTCATTTGAATTCCTAAACGATTTATCACATATTGAACTAAACAATTTTGAATTAAATAAAATAAAAATACAAATAATTAAATATTTTTTTTTTTTAATAGGGATGCACTGCTGAGTATTTTAAACAGCTTAACAGCAAACAACAATTTGCCAGCATTACGCGAATGCCGAAGACCCGAATTGTGCTTAAAAGCAACGATAGAGAGGCATTTAAAAGACCTAAAATCCGAAGAAGCTGTCGATGAAGTTAAACTGTGCAACGAGTTACTCGACAGACTATTCGCAGAACAATCACCTGCCGATCAAGATAGATAATTCTCCAAATTGTCTATTATTTATTAATTTAATGCAATAATAATAGCAAAAAAAAATACTATTAATTGCGACTAACTTATATTATTTTTTTAAACAATAATAAACTATTTATTGTGTACTTTAAAAAATAATAAATATTTGGATCAATTAATATATTGTTATTGCTATCAATTGTCCAATAATTGATATTCATTTTATTCTTCAAACATTAGTATAATCGATTATCAGTTAAAACGACCAGCTCGCGCCTGATGAAATCGGAATCTATCTCAACCAGACTAGTTACGTGACTCAACGCACGTCAGCAAATTTTCGCTCGTCTTAAAATAATATTTTTTATTTACCTCAGCCTCCGCTTCACTCATTCTTATTCACTATATTTTTTTTTCTTTTTATTTTTCAAGATTAAAAAAAATAAACACTAATTTCTAAAAAGTGTGTTTATGATCAGACGAAAATACGTTCAGCAGAATTTTAATATTCGTCTGACTCACCTTAAACGATGACGCAACTCGTGTTATTTACAAATCACATTTTTAATCCAACGTTTATTACATCAGTTAAAGTCTATTAATTTATAAAATAAATTTTAACTCAAAAATTATAAAAACTAAATAGAGAAAAAAAAATTTTAACAATTACGCAGTGGCGTCAGTCGTGAAATAAATTTATAAAGCAATAACCAAGTCTCGCACGCTAATGTATCTCTTTAAGAAATTCTCTATTACATCTTCTATTTCTTCAAATATCTATATACATCTATAAATACGTACTTGCATGTATGTGCGTACTAATACATATTAAAAAAAAAAAAAAAAAAAAAAAAAAAAAAAAAAAAAAAAAAAAAAAAAATTAGTGAGTGTAAATGTTATGACCGAGAAAAAATTTTTATGGCATACGTAATAAATACAGGGTGAAATCAATTGTAACACTCAGTAAGCAATCAATTGATCATCTACTTTTTATTCTTATATATTTATCTATGTGTTATATATTTATATGTATGTACATTTTATTTATCTAAGCATCAAACAAACTAAAGAGAGACACAGCAATAAATAATAGTTATAATTGCAATGGTCAATATATAATATAAGATGTAACATGTGGATAACTCGGAAAAAAGGCGGAGGCTCGTCTGATCACGACGTACGTCGCACGTTAAAATTAAATCTAGCTTGTAGTATCTTACGACCAGTGCTGATCGAGGAATCGCGAATACGTCTTCTCTTAGCCGACGACGACGACGACGTCCTCTAGCTCAGTCTCAAGAGCATATTCCGTGGGTGCGGGTATTAACTAATCTTAAATCCTCAATCTTTATTTCACACGTTAGAATTAGAGTTCGGGTGTTACTATTGCCGTTTACTCGGTTCTTATTTTTTTTTAACTTCATTCAAATCTACTGAAATAGAACGTGCTGCGTGTTTAAGCTTTGATGCTACTTTTATTTTACAAATATATATATATATAGATACTGTACATGTACTTTATTTATTTAGTTTTTTGACGGCTCTATTTCTGAAAGACTCCACGCCTGTTTGTATTTTTGGATATTTAATACAAGCATTGATTTAATAATCATAATAATAAAATATAAAAAATAGTTTAAATAAATAAAATAAAATTTTAGATTTTTTTATTAAATTCGCCTGAACTGTGACGGTCTTCTAAACGACGCGCATCTCCACGAGGAGGTAATGACGAAAGTTTATGTTATTGGATACTCATAATGTATACACACATAAATATTATTATTGTTATAAATATGAGGATATATTGTATACAATTCTATGCTTGTATTATTACATATATTCAGTGATGATTATCTGCAGACGTTTTAGTTCATTAGTATGCTCATTTAGCCTCATTTGCAGACATTATTTACAATACGTTAACTATTATTTATTTTACTAATATTTAATATGTCAGGTCATCTTCAAACAATTATTGCTTTTACAAAAAATTTCAAAATATTTTTCTTTTCTAGTAAATATTTTTTTCTAAATATTAGAAATGTTCACGAGCCTATACGTGCGTTGAAATACGCAATGGAATGCTAATTTTAACGACAAACGGTATTTTTAAGTGACGTACTGATCTACATATTTACTGTCTCGCCTCTTGATTAAACAGACGCATTAATGTGTTGTATGTTTCCAACTGATTAATTATAATTAATAATATTATTATTATTATTATTATTAACATTGACAGTGAAAAATAAAAAACTTGCTAAGAAAAAAGTCTGTTTTTTTACAAAGGTAATAACTAAAAAAATTTCGCAACATGTGATGAAACTCAAACGACGCCATGTGCGTTATTATTGCCACTGAATCATATATCGAACTGTCACTAAAAATTTTATTTTGCGCTTAGATCCGTTGTTGGTTGTTGGTCTCACCGGTTAGGTCTAATGACTATTACATGTTTTATGTATGTATATTTTTATTTATAGGTCGATTTGTCTAATATCGTGGGAAGAGAGCAAATTTAAGAGCAATGAGTCACTCATTTAGAGATAACCAACGTACGTATTATTTTTTGTCATTTTTATTAGGAATTAAGTCACCTTTAAAATTGTTATTAATTAACAATCAATGTATATTTCATTTTTTTTGAGGTATTTAATAATTATTTTTGTACAAAACTGAAAAATATGACCCTAGAAATTAAGTTTTTATTTTTTTTTAATGTGTATTTGTAAATTATAAAAATAAAAATTGTTTTAAGCGTTAAAAAAATTCATGCATAGTTACAGAGTCTGATTTTTTATTTTAATGCATGTAAATTAATATTTTGTTATGCAATTTTTGCAATAAAATTTTTTTTCAACAATAAAATGTCAATTTATGGTTTAAAAATCAATTTTTTTTTAAATAATAATAAAAATTTTTAAGACTTTTTGTTGTTTAATTCATAAAAAAAAAGACATATCAGAGCATTTTTAATGTAATATAAATTTTTAATAATACCTAGAACCTTTTGTAAATAATTCAAGGCTAAATAAATGAAGAAAAATTTTTAATTGTACTTGAAAATATATTTTTAACCATTTGAGTGTTTAATTAATTAACTAATTCATGGATTAAAATAAAACACTCTGTATCTGTAAATTCTATGGCAAATGTTTGTACAATTAAGCTCGAGTGCTTCAACCAGAGGTCATACACCTTCATATCAATAATTAAGCCGACAATTAATCCCAGAATTTTATTCTGACAAGTTTAAGGTCTGGGTTTATTAAAATGGAAGTTTTGAAGCTTTAAAAAATAGAACGTAGATAGACTACTTATACATACATAAAAAGCAACGAGCAACAAGCAAATGTGTGTATATTTGATTCTCAGTCATGCATGCACGCGGGTCGGACTTATTTGTAAGCAAGTAACCTCAATGATTAGCGACTGCCAAGCTAAACATCATCATCGGTATATCGTAAGCCGCTAGAGGAGTGTCACAGGGTTACTAGCCTTGATCCGATGCCAAATTCTTGACAGGGAAAGCTCATACGTCATAAAGTTATTCGTGAACTAATTTATAACTTGCCACATCAATATTTCAATATTTTTTGTCTCTTTTTATCTAAAAATCTGGGTTATTTTATTTTTTAGTTAAATTTTTAATAACTTCCAGTTGGTTTCCAATTAATGACCATGGACAGGGACGATGATGATTTCGGAGAAGGATATATCGCGGAATCCCATCCTCTGAGACCGACATCGTTGACGGTACCTGGGAGAGACGACTCCAGAGCTCCTAGTATCAGTAGCAGTGTTACTGATCTGGATGCTCCGATTTATGCGCGTGATACCACGCTTCCTTTATCTGCTAGACAGGTGAGTTTTTTTTTTTTTTATCTATTATAAATATATAAAAGCCGTAAATTCAAAGTAAAAGTTGAATTTTAATTTAAAGTCGTTGACACCAAGGTTTGATTTGTTGTTAGAAAGTTGGTTGATATAAAGAAGAAATATTAATTTATGAGTTTTTCGTGGGACAGTTTTTTGTATTAGTAATTAAGTGAAGGGAAGAAATAGAAATTTGAATAATTTCTAACTTCTGACTCTTGAATTATTGATTAAAAATTTATAATTTATAATTTATTTTTCTAACCAGAAAATTGTCTTTTAAATTGTTTGTAATTTCTTAAAATTATTCTGAAGTATACAAAGAAAAACAAAATTGTTTTTTAATTTTTGGCTAAGGATTTTTTTTTTTTTTAAATGCACTATTTCCATTTTTTTGACAAAATAAGATCAATATTTTCATTAAAACAAAAAAAAATAGATGAATAGCTTTATTTGAATTTAATAAAAAGTATTTTAATTAATTTCATTATTTCTTCAGACAAGAAAATATATTCTTGATAATGATAGATTTCAAAAAATAGTGATTGAAATTAAAAAAAAATTTTTTATACAAAAAAGTTTGAACTCTAAATTTGATTTGTTAAAAAATGCAATTTATGTAAAGAAGATACATATAGAAAAAAATATTTTTGAGAAAAAAAAACGTCAGATTGTTTATTTGAAGTAATAAAAAATGAAAAATTATCCAAAAAAATATCTAGATATAAAATTTTGCAATATTTATTCGCATATTCCTGCGTCAGAAAAATTCTCTGAATAAAAATTTTTTCTTATTCATTCTTAAACCGACGGAAAGTTTTCTTCACGTTAAAAACCTAATTAATAAAAAAATAAACCCGAATGAAAAACAGATTAATAAAAGCGCTGATTTAAATATAAATAGCCAATAAAATAATAAAATGTATAGAAGAAAAATCTCGTGTTATTCCTCGTGTCAAGCAGATGAGACATAATAAGATCATGACTCGTGGAGGTCACTCAGGTGCACACGGAATCTCTTTGAATGATGACCAAGAGACAGGAAATTAATATATACATATATTAGCAATAATAACAATATAAGACGCGTGGTTTATCTGGGAGGTGTGTTTGTTTATTTTTATCAATCACTGCAAGACATCTCTGCTT